TCCCGATACAAGGGGACTGTGAGGGTCTGGGGAAGGGCTCGGGGATCCCGGATGCAGGGCAAAGGGTGAATACAATGAATCCTCTAATGGGAACAAGCCAACAGTCAGTACTGGAGTGACAGAAGCCGAGTGCAAGAGCCGGAGGGTAAAGTAGGGTTGTAGTCGAGCTCTCCGAGAGGAGGCCGGACAATTGGACTCTCTAGGGAAGGGTCATGATTTTAAAGAAGCAATCATATCTACCTACCTGCACTGCACATGGGGCAGCATTCGCCATTTATTTCATATTCGCCGGGATAGCATCGTAGAGCTTCCGAATGAGGTAGTTGTGTTACCAAGAAAATGACAAAAATCTTTAGGGAAGAAGAGAAGTTTCTGAGTCACATCATGCAGGCTCAAAAGCAGACAAGGAGCAGCTGGTAGCACTGTGACACTGACTAGCCTCCCCAAGCCCGCAAGCACATTCAATGGAGAGCATAATGATGAACAAGATGATAATGATGTTGCCTAGAAATGTTACCAGCGCTATTACTTATACAAGTTTATTATCATATTTTGTTTTACCCTTTAAGGTATTGCTGTGATGCTTTGAGGTCACAAAGAAATCCAATTTTATCTCTTGAAATAATACATTCAACTAACAGAAACAAATGCAAATTTCAAAGTGGTCATTTTAAAGTGTTGATGGTGTCACTGTTTATCCCCGTTTCTGTGGTAACAGCACCACTTGACAGCTCCACATCATACCTCATCTTAAAGTAGACATACAAAGCTTTCAAATGATGTGTGATGTGTATTTATAGAGAGAGACTACATTAAGATAGGCGAACGGCAGACACCTCCAATTTGGTTATCAGCCCCCTACTTCGCCATTTCCTCACTAGCACTCTCCACATTCTGGGTCAAACTCTGCTCTCGTTTAAACCTGGAATAGTTCTACTGACATTAGTCTGGCTAGAATCCAGCCTTTACAGCCTTGGGACATGATCCTCCATCCCTGACTCATGGCAGTGCTCAGCTCAGTGTGGGTCTAATCACGTGCATCACAATGATGGGGTTCGATTCATAGACTGTGACCTTTGACATTTCAGCTAAAGCCGCTTTCTGTTATGATTTTTCTAAATCCAGAAGCCTGGGGGATACCCTGTTAGCCACTTGGAAATCATTTTCCTTTTGTCCCCAGTATATTCTCTTTCCCTTTTACCCATGGTGCATTTCTCTGAGTTCTTGGAATACAGCTGAACTTAGCGCCAGTTTCAGTTTACACTGTGACACCCAAAATGGAAGGACTGAAATATGATTGGCCATAGAAAGCCCCAAACTGAGACCCAGCAACACAGCTTCC